TTTTTTTTGTTTTGTTTTCGGTCGTATGGCGCTGGCGTAGTGTCATGATGTCATCATTTGTTCTTTTTTTAGGGCTTAAATTTCCCAAAGAGCATCGACGTCCACAACATCGACAGGTCGGGTTTTCTCCATCGCCACTGTGTCGTATTCTGTTGTGCTCAAGGTCCCATGGCTGTCCAACAACACCTCTCCCCCCCTTAACTTCTTGTCCTCGTGCGCTGTGTCTTTATCGTCGTCACTCAAATAGAGAAATCTATCTCCAGCAGCGTCAGAGGACTTCTTCAGAACGTCCTCTCCCATCGCCTCATCATGAAGGCCGGAGTACACGGGGTCGTCGTATGCCGGCTGAACTTGTTGCTCCATGCCGACGTCGCTGAGTGTCGGATCAATCCGGTTGTCGACGGAATCATCCTTGTCCAAAGTCGTAAGAAGTCGACAACCCTCAACGCCTGCCAGTTGAAGTCCTTCGTCCATGTGTCTCGGATAAATCCGAATTACGGTCATCTCCAAAGCTGCATCAGGGAGGGACATGCTCACAGGGCCCCGGTTCGAGCCCCCGCAGTTTCCAATGGCGCCGACTTGTCCACTTTCACCGGAGAGTCACTTAAGACTGCTAACTCTGCGAGTACCATCACCGGGCATTCAACTCCGAGAGTGCGGGGCTCGACATTCAAAAGGGGTCGCTAACTCACCCTCAGTCGGACAGTCTGCCTGCAGCTCCTTGTGGACTTCCATGCACAACATTACGCCGTCCTGACACCGATCGTCTGTCATGGCGGACACGTCCTCCTGGTTCAGATGAATCCGAATTTCGCCGCCAGGGTTTTCGGAAACCCAGACCACCCGTTCGAGTTCCGTAGACCGCTGTGTTCTCTCAACGGTACTGGTTTCTCGGTTCGGATTAATCCGAACTTCCTTTTGAGGCAAAACCGAACATGGTTCGAGCTTGTCGCTGTCAGATCCATGGTATGTTGTCGTCTCGCTTCTCGGAAGGCAGTGAGTTCCGGACGGCGATGTCGTCTCCGAGGTTCGGATTAATCCGAGACAATCCGCCAACCGTTTTTGGAGCTAAGTGAAACAAGTTCCATTCTTTGCTACAACTACCCCGCCAACAGCATCGGTAAATTGTGTTGCGCTGGTGGAGCTAAATTAGCTAATCACAGGGTCCTGCTCGCTACGCAGCGTAATCCACCCTGGCCTGAAGTCGTTCCCCATCTCCATTGAGGTGCTGCCTGTTACCACCAGAACCCCACCGTCCTTGTCGCGGTCGACATCGGACCCCTGCCCGTCTACTGTGTGATGCTTTGTCTTCTCTCTGCTGCGAGGCTTTTTCTTCGCCCGGCTGCCCTTTTTCCCCTCTCCACCGCCCGCGTGCCCCGGAGACCGCTGTTTCGTCAAACGCTGTTCACTTTCACCTCCGGCACCTCGTTGCCCGCCGCCTTCACCATCCCCTTTGCCGTCCTTTCTGCGAGACTTGCACTTCACAACTCCTGCCGGCGGGGTGACGGCAGGCACTTCCCAACTCACTTGGTTAATTGACGGGCTTGACAGAAGGGCGTAGAACGCGGACGATACTTCCAGCCATTTATTTGACTGCAAGAAATTGAACAGCGTTTCCCCATATGCGCGCAGAGCCGGGTCGTTCTTACTTTGTCGATTGACCTCACTTAATCTCTCCAATACCGCATCCTTGGCACGAGATTTGAATGTATCGAGGTCCCAACGATCGTCATATATCCACCTTCCACTTACGTCCCTCACAACCACTGCCCAGTCGCCGTCGAGAAAGACTGGTTGGAAATGGTTTGGGTGCCACACGATATCATGGCCCCAATCTTCGGTTGTAGAGAAGGTGTGTTTGTCGCCCATGTGGTAGGGAGTTGTAGGAGCCGTGAGATGCGGATGGTCAGGAGGAGCAGGATGGCTGGGTCGAAGACGTTCGGGCAGCGGTGTGAGACGAATAGGCTCCCCCGGCGAACTTCTCAGACGGGACAACCCACCCCTCTTGACAGGCGCTGAGGAGGACACGGGCGTGGGACCGCCCGAGGTGGGTGTAGCGAAAGGTGTCCCCGATTTGCATACTGATGGCGACTCAGAAACTTGGGCATTGAAGATGGCCAATTGCCCGTCCAAATCGAAGAGGTCATCCTCAATGCTCTCTTCCTGGTCAGTCTCGATATTGAAGTCGTCGTCGTCGCCGAATGCCACCCTCTAGTTATCCAAAGTGAAGTCGGCCGGATCGACCACACCCTCGTTAAAAAATACATATTCCAGCCTCTTAATGAAGCTCACTGCGTCGGCCGGACTCGCTTAGTGGTAACCCTGGAGGACTGCAATGGCGACTTCCTTCCGCACCACGTACTGCGGGTCAAATCTCAACCTTGGTTGTTCGCCGTAAACGAAGGAGTAGACCTGGCGCCTTTTCTTCGGAGTCAACTTGAAGAACAAGTCCTTGTTCGGGTCATAAACGGGCTCGACCACGACATGGTGGAAATCGCATGGGTAAGCCTTGGACGACACCTCATGGGTGACATACTGCACGGTGTAGTCAAGCTGCGTTGTGTCCCCATCCACGGCCAAAACGTGCCTTCCCTGCTGAAGCAGACTCCACACCACCTGCGCGTGCGGCTTGCCCAAGAACAGCACGGCATCCGCCACACCAGAGAAGAAAAGAAACTGATTGCATAACAGATTCGGATTCCGCTCGCTATCCTTGTACAGAGCCCCCCTCTGGGTGAGGTTTCCGATGTCCGCAAAAGTCAAGGACTTGAAAGACTTCTGCTCCACATCCGTGGGTGTCACTTTCTGTTTCCTCCGGAAAGCGGCGGCATTGACTTCGGCAACAGCTCCCTCGTACACCGGGTGAGTCGGTAGCCAAGGATCCTCACCTTTGAAGAGGATGTGCATCACATCCGGCTCCTCCCAGACACTGTTTCCGAATTGATGCGTCTTCTTCGATGTCGTCTTCCGAACCCACTTCCCCGTGTAGCATCGGGTAGCCCCAAGCACAGACAAAGATGTCATGAAGGAGAGGTTCCACAGGCAGGGAACGAATACCACCAATGTCGAGTATTCCTGACAAACGAAGCCTCTCAACTCACTCAGAGACGCGAATGCCCCAGAGTCCCATTGCACACGGTCCACAGTTCCGGACAAGTCGAGCACGCAAGTGTGGGAGCGTAGCTGATGCCCTTGTTTTCCCAGCGCCTCCTTATGATCTATGGCACTCAATGGGTCGACGTTAAACTGGGCCAGCGTCGTCAAGGCGCTTGTCCTCGTCCACAAAATGTTGATGCATTCATCAACGCCTCGAGGGTTTCTTTTGCCTTTGGCGCGATCTTCAGTGATCACCGAAAGGACAACACGCTTCCACTCCGCCCGGAAATGCTGGTCGTTAACGAGGGCCGCCGTTCTCTTGATGTTGTTGTCATGTTGACACTCGAGAAACTGAGCGCACTTGTTGACGTACGCGGTGTCCGTGAAAAATTTTCTGCTCTCGTTCCAAAGCTTGTCGTCGAGACCTTTGTCCTTGAACTCTTCCAACAGTTGCTTCTTGGACCTGAAGAACGTGGAGTTGGCATTCCACTCCCGCTTATCAATTTCCTCGTACTCGAACTCCACGAAGTGTCACAGCCTCAGCATAATCCGGTCCATTTTTATCATGTCCACCATCTCCTTCACACTGAACTTCCCCTGCTCGGCCAACTTCTTGCTACTCGTTTGAACCCACACGACGTTAAGGTTCAAGACGCCGTTCAGCAGTCTTTTCTTCTCGCAGTCCGTCCAGTCCACCAATTCCTTCCAGCAGTGGACATCCGGCTCAGGAACTTGGACGTAGTAAGTTTTCTCCTCCGCGCCTTTCTTTGGCTTCCCCTTGCCCTTTTTCAAGGATGGGTCGTCCACCTTCACATACCAGACGTGCTTTTTCAGCCCCTGGCTGTCAGTCACAGTGGAGAGTCCTGGCTTGGCCACGTCCTCATGGGTGGGCGGCTTTTTAGTCCAACGCTGGCCGTCGGAAGCAAGGAGTTTCCCTTTCGACCACTCCTCATAGAACTTCTCCCTCAAAGCGAAGACGGAGTCATCTGCCATGGCCAGCGGGTGGTAGTATTGAAGTTTCTCAGCCCATTCCTTTCTTTTTTTTTCTTCCGTTGACAGGTTCCACAAAGGCGTGTACGGTGTCTTCTTTATAGCCAACGCCATGAACTGCACCCACTTCCGCACCTCCTCCTTTTTCTTCGAAGCATTGCCGAGCACTACACGGGGTTTGCCCTTAATTTTCCAGATATTGCGAATGTCCCGCATAGACAAAACCTGCAAGCGCGGTGGATTCTTCTTGTTTTTCATGTTGTCTTCGCAGTTGACATGGGCGTAGCCATCGAACTCGTCGTCAGGGAAGTAGATCGGGTTGAACGGCCATTTATAGAAGTTGTAGTACTCAAACACGGAATGGTCTTTCACCTTCATCGCCACCCTCGCATTATGTTGTCCACACATAGGATAATACCAGTATTTCTCGGGTTGTGAGCTGTCGAAGTCACTAGGCAGCACGCGCACAGCAGGCTCGCCCCTCTCTGGAGGCGCGTCGATCAGAGCGAGAACGAGAATGGGCTTCGTGTCTCTCATGTCTTTACGTTCGTAGCAGTCGATCATTGCCAACGCGATGGTATCAACGAGGAACTCGTCCAAGGATCGGTGGTTGTACGCATCTTCCCAGTCTGGAATAGCCAATATTCTTTCGGGATGGATGTGCAACACGACGTCCCTCTGCACCCCTGTCTTCATCTCGAGGAAGAACGCATCGTCGAGGTTAAAGGCGTTAAGGTTAATCTCCACGTCTTCATCCCCCTTCCCGCTGTCGCCCTCATCTGCTTTCTTCCTCCTCGATGATTTCGATCGTTTCCCGGAAGACTCAGCGGTTCTTCGTTGTGTCGACGAGTCTTTTGGCGTTTCATCCCCACCTCCAACCCTTTTCCTCTTCTCAACGGAACCCCCCTCTCGTGTTGTTGGCGTCCGAGCACTCCCTCCTACCTTTCTCTGTCTTTTCAAAGCACCTACTCCCTCTCGCTCTTCCTCATCTGGCAAGTTGCGCTTGCCTCCCGACTGAGTCTTTTCAGCCAATCTCTCACGGAACAGCCCCTTCTCAGACACCTCCTCCTCACCGGTGACGTTCCCACTTGCTTCTCGTTCCTAGCTCAACTCCATCTGCAGTTGCGCAGGCGCAGGTCGGGCCCGGCGAGTCTTCTCATCTGACCCACGCACATCTCGAACCTGCGAACCACCCGCGCGATGTCCAGGCGAAACCTTGGCCACCTGCATTCCACGAACAAACGAACCGATCCTTTCGACCAGACGACGAGGAGTCGTCGATTCTGAGCCCTGCTGCAACCGTTCGCCATCGCCGCCTCCACGTGCCATCGACTCCCCATGCAAACCTTGGCGGCGAGATCCATGCAAGCCCGGTTTCAAAGGAGCACGCGGATGGTCGTCCTCCGAGTCGTCTGACATGCCCACCTCTTGATCAGGAGGCGTAGCTGGCAGGCCACCCTGACCTCCCATTCTCCTTTCAGAGCACTCTCCTCCCGCGAACCCAACAGGACCACTGATCGATGTCCCAGGTCCGACGTCCACGACACTGATAGAGGTATCAGATCTCGCCCGAACCTCGAGGAAGTTTATGACGTGAACGGCCTTGTCGTGCCCCGACGACAGCGGGACAAAGGACGACAAAGACATCGCACGCCGGTCATACGTTTCGAACATCCTCCCGGCAACCTTGTATCCTTTTGTGATGTCGTCGATGGAACCATCACTTCTGTAATGCTTCCGTAACGTAAACTTGAAACTGTATTCACCTTCGTCGACCCACTCGACGATGGACCATGCGAGACGCATCCTATCGTCGCGAACGACGACGAACAAGAGCGGCCCGCACGTTGGTTTCAACGGGGCGGAGCCGTCCTGGCTCGCCCAGTCCAAATACCAGACACGTTTGCTGTAGTCGCACCACAAGTTTTGAGCCTGTCGTTCTTCCTCCCCACCGCCACCTCCCCGACTCGTTTCCCTTGCCGGCGATGACGTTGTCCCTCGACGCTCCTCTCCATGCGGAGCGGAACCACCAGCGGAGCGGCTTCGTCCGTGTGTAGCCATTCCCTGAAACACGCAGAGGAAATGAACGCACATGCACTCAGAACACTCAGCACGTCCTAACATCAACCACGACCCACAGCACGTGTAATGTTATCGATCACCCGAACCCCAAAAGAACGAAGTTCAGTCATAGTTAGACGACAGTGGTCCACACGCCTGCACGTTTCGGATGAATCCGAGGCATCGTGCGCCATCCTCGTCACACTGCCCTTAAGAGAACGAATGGTCGAAACCGAAGAGTGCGGGATAGTTCGGATACATCCGAAGTAGGCGCAGTCAAACGACCGAAGATAGTTCGGACACATCCAAAGTAGGCGCAGTCGAAAGACCGACGTCGCATAGGCACCTGCACCGGGAAAAGCAAGACCTCGCTAGAAGGCATCCGAAGTCGACAAGCGGATTGTAAAGGACGAGAAAACTCAAGTTTGGATTGGTCCGGGCCACACGGGCGTGGTCCACACCACTTTGGAGCTTGGATGCATCCGAACCACACCGTTCGGATTGGCCTGGGAAAAGCAAGACCTCGCAGACGAAGATGTGCACCCCATGGTGATACGGTTTCATCCGATGTCGACAAGCGGATTGTAAAGGACGAGAAAACTCGAGTTCGGATTGCTCCGGGCCACACGGGTGTGGTCCACACCACTTTGGAGCTCAGATGCATCCGAACTACACCGTTCGGATTGGCCCGGGCCACACGGTCGTGGTCCACACCACTTTGGAGCTCAGATGCATCCGAACTACACCGGTGAAGCTCTGAGTCGGTAACAATTGTGACTCGGATGCATCCGATTTCGAAGAGCAAGGTCCAAAGACGGTCGTCCACAAGAGGACGCCATCGACAGTATGGGTTCTCATCAACGACCTGTGAGCATTGGGTTTTTCCTATCTTGTCGGAGGTTTGGTTCGGTTGAACCCGAACTTCGCCAATGTGGCTCGGACTAATCCGAGAGGGGACCGGCGGATGGACCCCACGGTCTGTTGACGCCCATCTAACTATCCAGGCTTCCGTTACTCCCCTGCTGTCCTTGGGTTCACCCGAACTTCCCACGGTTTGTCTTCATCCTTGAGTGTTTAAGATGGGTGTGGCTCAGATTTATCCGATTTCGACAGGGGCTGTCCCGATACGTGTGACCACGAGAGGTTGTGTCGACACCGTGTGCTTTCGTCGTTTAAGTTTATCAGACCGTGCAACGTCGTCAATACCCTCTGCGTATGTGGAAAATCCGAACAAGCCATCGGTGTGGTTCAGATTAATCCGACTTCGTCGAGGCGCTTCGGTTTGTTGTCCCCCCACCACACAGCAGCCCTCCCCGCGATTGCGGTAGTGTGTCGTTATAATTTGTGCGTCATTACAGGGGATGTCGTCGTCCTCGTGAGTTTTAGTTGGTTGTCACTCGCCCAGTCCAAACAACAGACACGTTTGCTGTAGTCGCAGCACAAGTTTCGAGCTCGTCTCTCTTCCACCCGAGCGTCACCTTTTCGACTCGTTTTAGTTGGATGAATCCGAGGAATCATTAACCCTCGTCATCAGACTGCCATATGTAGAACAAATGGTCGAAGACGAAGACAGCAGGGTAGTTCGGATACATCCGAACAGGGCACAGTCGAAAGACCTACGTTGGGTATCGTTGCCAGTAACAAGACCGCGCTAGAAGGCCCTGGAACGCTGGTAGAGCAAACGAAGTTGTGCACCCCATTGTGACACGGAATCATCCGAAGTCGACAAGCGGATTGTGAAGTGCCTCGGTGTGCTTAGGATGCAATCGATCCACAAAGTGGTGCGGGCTGCATCCGTGGGGGCCGGCTTCGTCGGACTCGAGTTTTCTCGTCCTTCTGATATAATGAGGGTTGTGACTCGGATGCATCCGAATTAGCAAAATGCGATGCAGAAACGGCCGACCACAAGAGGAGGCCATCGGCATGGCGTGTTTTCGTCAATGACCTGTGAGCATAGGGTGGACCCTGTCTTGACGGAGGTGTGGTTCGGATTAATCCGAGACAGGGACCGGTGGATGGACGGCACGGTCTGTTGACAACGTGTGATTTCGTCGTTCACGTTTATCAGAACGTGCGACGTCGTAAATATCGTCTGAGCATGTTAGAAATCCAAACTTGTCGTCGGTGTTATTCAGATTAATCCGAACTTCGCCGAGGTGCCTCGGTTTGTGGTCGCCCCGTGAGTTCTAGTGGGTTGTGGCTCGGATGCAACCGAAATTAACAAGGGTGGCTCGGATACGTTAGTTGTTGCGCCACCAGAAGACGGCGAGCGTTCTTGATCGTATCACGGCACAGGACGCACCGCGAACGTTCGTGTGTGTTGACGAGAGGAAGAGTGATGAAAAATCTGAAAATTTTGACGAATGTAGAGGACAATTTACGGATACAAAACCGAACGCCGAGCGAACTGCACGACGCGACTTACGAGGAAAAAATGAATAAACAAACCGAGCGCAATAGAAAATAATTCGGCTAGAAGAAAGTCCATGTGCAATCCAGAAGAGAGACGATTCGTGAGAATCCATGTTTTCGTCTTCCACAAGATACGACTAGAAATCTTATGTCGAAGTTCTAGGGAAAGACAACAAATTGACGAGACACGAGAAACACTTCAAGAAAACATTTGAAGTGAAGACACAATCTCGAAGCGCGTGTCACAACCTTCTCGGGCTGCATTCGCGGGTCCCGTTTCAATGATGACCACTCGCCCCGATCAGATGGCACACTCACACATCCACGTGTCAGCTCCTGGACATGCGTGGCCACGGTGATGGATGCGGGGCTCTATTCGACAACATTTCGTTGTCGCATAGAACCCCGCATCCATCAGTGTGGCCACACTTGTTCAGGACGTGACACGTGGACGTCTGAGTGTGCCATCTGATCGGGGCGAGTGGTCGCCACTGAAACGCATGCATTCTTGCTCCCGAAACTCCTTCATCTCGCCCCGATCAGATGGCACACTCACACGTGCACGTGTCACGTCACCTCCCCACCGCCACCTCCCCGATCTGTTACCGCATAGAGCCTCGCATCCATCAGCGTGCGCATGCTTGTTTAGGACCTGACACGTAGACGTGTGAGTGTGTCATCTGATCGAGGCGAGTGGTTGCCAATGGAACGAGATCCACGAACGCACCCCGAGCTAAGTTCGCGAAAGAAACATGCCAACCCATAAGACGAACGAAATAGAGGCACTGAAAGAAAACTAACGACGGGGACTATGATGGTAGTGGAACATGATGGCACACACGTCCACGTGTCAAGTCCTGAACATGTGTGGCCACGCTGATGGGTGCGGGGCTCAATTCGACAACGTTCTGTTGCGCATAGAGCCCCACATCCATCAACGTGCCCACGCTTGTTCAGGACCTTACACGTGGACGTGTGAGTGTGCCATCTGATCGGGGCGAGTGGTCGCCAATTCAACTCAATTCGCGAAAGCAGGCCAAGGTAAGTTCGCGAACGAAACGGGCCAACGCAAAAGACGAACGGAATAAAGGAACTGATAGAAAAATGACGATGGGGACGATGACGATAGTGGAACACGATGGCAGAACGTATGGAATTGCCTTTTCTTCTTCGCATACGTTTTGCGGTCGTGTTCTTCTCCCGTCTTCGTCTTCGTCGTTAATTAGGTTTTTTTTTTTTTTTTTTTCGTCTCGTTCGTTTGTCTGCGCTTGCCAGTTCCGTTTGCAAACTTTGTGCGAACGACACAGACAAGCTTAGTGACACGAACGAGATAAAAGACAGAAAGAGAGATAAATAGATAGCGAGAGAGAGAGAGAGCGATATAGAGGCGATCTCCGCCTGCATCACACGGCCCAATCAAACATCACGATCAAATGGCCCCGAACGTCACCCCGATCACAGATCGGACTCACGGAGAAAGATCCCTGTTAGATCACACGACACTGTTCGTTCGCGATGACTGAACCCAATGTGATCGCCACCCCGACTACAGATCGCATACATGTGTGGGCACTCTGACGGATGCGGGGCTCTACGCAAACCCTGCATGGCAGGACTTTTGAGGTTGGTGGAGATGGCGAGAGAAAGAGAGACAGAGAGAGGGAGAGAGAGGGAGGGAGAGAGAGAGAGAGGGAGAGAGAGACAGAGAAAGAGAGAGAGAGGGAGAGAGAGAGAGAGAGAGAGAGAGAGAGAGAGAGAGAGAGA